TGGTGTGCAACTGTACACAGCACCTTGACAGCAGTCATTTTCGTGGAATGAGTACTGGTGACTTAGCCATTGTAAATTACGGAAGAAGAAAGCGTTCTGAAAATGACTCCACCATTACTGGGTGATGTTGTCATCCCACGTAGTTAAAATATACAGAACACACAGCATGAACAAAACACTGTTAAGTAAAAAAACTATTAAAATGTATACTTAAATAAATCTACAAATTATCTGTGGCCACGAAAATGAAATTGTTTTTTTGAAAAGGTGGAAATTCGTGGAAATATCTACAAATAACTACAGATAATTACCAAACCTACGTCTAAATGTGGGGGATATACATGTCAACATCCTGTGACAGGAGACATCAATGCAAAGGTAGGTAAAAAGGAGCATAGGTGAGAGGATTATTGGCGAATTTGGTATAGAAGAGAGGAATGAGAAAGGAAAACATCAAGGGTTCACAGGCAGGAGAACGATGAAGATAACGAACTTATAAAAACAAACACATGGAATCTATGAAGTGGACATGCGCACATCGATAAATGATGAACAAAGTGACTCGATTCTCACAGACAAACCTCAGATTGCCAGGGTATGTCTCTGTCCTCAGTGGATGTAAGCGATTGCAGGCCAATGCAATGCCAGTCACACTTCAAAATCGCAAAGGAGAGGAAACAGCTAAGTACAGGTGAAAAAAAAAGACAGCTAAACATTGAAAAATCTAGCTCACGAGGTAGAACAATATAGACTGATTCTAAGCAACATATTAAAATCCCAAAGTGTTACATGTCAACACTGTACATTATGAAATAACTATCACTGGACAGTGCATTGAAAGTGAAAGGCAAAGTACAAAATCAAACAGAGAACAAATAGTCTGTAATTTAAATAAGCATGATGGAAAAAAAGCATAGATATGAGAAAAAATGGAAATGGTAAAGAAAGAACACAGAACTGCAAAACCATTAAAAAATCATGAGTCTTGAAATCGGAGACCACAACACAAAAGTTATTTAAGACATCATAATAAACAATGGGAGCATGAAAGCAGCAAAATTGATTTGATGACTGTTAAATCTTAGAGCGCAAGATGGAACCAGAATGCATGGTAAACAGAGGGATGTTACAAAGATGTCTGTATCAAAACAATAAACTGTTTATATATACCCTAGAAAATATGTTTTAGAGTGAGTCGGATGTTTTATATTTCAAATCTGTGGAAGTACCAACCACTGCTCACTGCAGTACGAAAACATTTGAAATCTCCCCAACCAGATAGATTAACAACGGATATCGTCAGAGAAGTGGGGCCAAGCTTAGCTGTTGAATCAATATTATCAGACCGATTTACTGAATGTTTTGGCGCACAGATCATATACCTCGTAAAATTAAAAAAATTGCCTCCACTATTCTGTTTTAAAAGAAAGACGAAATTTACTTTTAATAACAACAAATATGTTAGCCTCCGATCTCATATTTAGAAATTGCTTCTGAAGATCATGGGATGAAACAAAATGGATATTCTGGAGGCCAACCACGTCGGCATTACCACCACTCGTGATCACACACACACGCTATCATGCAGATCACATCGAAAAATAATATCAAATGCCATTGTTTGGCTTTTATCGACTATGAAAATGCATTTATTTTCAGTGGAAACTAATGCAGTCATCCAAGCATTCACAAACCAGTGGAATGTTGTAGGTTTTTTATATATGTAAATTATAACAAAAATATATATTATAAGAATGGAACAACTATACTATGATCTTGATTTTAAGCTTTCGTGACTACAGGAATCCATACGCTTTGGTTCTTTCGGTAAAGCCACGTGGTTAGGAATAAAATAAAATGAAACAAATCACGATGTTTCGATCGCAACACAAGCGGTCGTCATCAGGCAAAGGAGACAGCCTCTAAGGGCAAACTGTTTATAAGGGTTTGGGGATGGGTGTAGCCCATTGGCATTGTTGCTGCATTGGCATTGTTGCTGCATTGGCACTCGTGCACCTTATTAACATGAGCTTCGAAGGGAAAGTACGGATCGAATATCACCCCATACTAATCTCATACTTCGGGCAGACGTTCTGGCCATCAATAACTAGGCTGTGAAGTCCCAGTTTTTTCAATTGTTGGGGAGAGCTGACTAATAGGTGTTTGGCCTTATTTCTATTTAGCTGGAGAAATATTTCTGCATCCATGATTTTACATTTATTAATAACGATGAAAACAGAGATATTGTTGACGTAGAATCTGGTGTGAGCTGGAGGTAAATCTGCAAAGCAGTGATCGCGCAGTCCTAGAAATCGTAGCAGTCCTCCAAATGGGTCCATGCAGATGCTAAACAGAATGGAACCAAGCACCGATGCTTGAGCAACCCCAGACCGCACTGAACTGACGGAGGACTTAAAGCCGCCCAGAGTGGCATACTGCTTGCGGTTTTGCTGCTATGAACGGAACCACTGCAAGGCATGAGCGGAAACCACTCCCAGAGCAGAATCTGTTACCCCCATAATACCTTCCAGCCGTTCAATTAAAATGTCATGGTCGATGATATTGAAAGCTGCACTGAGGTCTAGAAGAACCAGAGCACTCGGTGTACCATGGTCTGCAGGGACCAACGGATCATTAACCACCCTAACCAGAGCTGTCTCCCTGCTGTGTTGTGCTCTAAAGCCCGATTAAAATGCGCCAAGCGATTGGTTTAAAGACAGAAGCTGCTAGAGCTGATTTTCCACAGCACGCTCAAAGACCTTAGAAAGAAAAGGAAGATTGTAAATAGGCCGGTGATTAGTAAAGCACTCAAGATCTAGACCATGCTTTTTAAGCAGAGGAGTGACAGTGACCACCTTGAAGGTGGAAGGAGCAATGCCCGTTTTAAGAGAACTATTGAATAGATCAAGTACAAATGGGTCCAGTGTGGCAAAACTCTCTTTGATGATTCTAGTAGGAAGGGTCCAGTGGGCAACATGTAGGGTGGGAATTGGAGATCAGGGCAAAAAAGCTCAGTCAAAGAAATGACACAGAGCTTAGTTCGTGAGGTACCATTAAAAAGGGGCAAGACATCTGGAGCAATAGAATGAGGTAGAGATGAACACAGCCGAGAGCCAATGGTAGCTATTTTGTCGGTGTAATAGTTTGACAAAGACTCACACCAGTTAGCCGAAGCCGAAAAATTGCAACGGGATACTTGTGTGAGTAGTTGATTTCTGGTAGAAAAAAAGAGTCCTAGTTTTATTTTTGCTGGCTGCAATAACGCACAGCGAGATATTCTGATTTAATCCACATAATAGCGTCTTTGTAAGTGCCTTTCATCCAGCAGTGGATAATGACATATGCAAGGATGATTATTACCAAACTGAGAATACAATACATTAATTACCACGACATCACAAGTCTCAAAAGTAGGTCATCAATTAATCTTAATCGGCTCACATTTGCTTCGAGGAGCTACATTGCCACATCAATGAATGTCCTTATTCTATATCTCCTCAATGAAACATATTATTTGGTGATGCTGCATTGGCGGTGGTGCACAACTTCAACATAATAACAAACAAAACACTCAACACGTGTATCAATAACACTGCCTTAAAATGAAAATAAATATAATTGGTGAAGTTTGGGGCAATGGTCCTTCATCATAGCACACAAATGTGCTGTATCTCATCAGGGCAAAACACACACACACTGACTTTTAATTTGAACAGATTTCTCATTCCCTATATACATTAGATGTATGATCATGCGCTCATTACAATGTACATGGGTCTGTTAATGAGCAGAACACACAAGGCAGGCCTTTCCTTGGCACCAGAGTCGAATTTGGATAATTCTCACAGAGAAGAAATTAAACTCTCATTGGACGAGATGTCTGCTCAGTGATGTTCAGATGTTTTCATATTTCATTCACCATAAGTTGGTAAGGCTTTTTGTAAGTTGACGTGTTATCAGCCATTGTCAATTAACCTATTTTCATGCCCTAAACTGCTCATAACTGTTCACGTATCCGACATTGCCCACAGTTTACGTGTATACATGTCAAAATCTTTATATGTGTGTGTGTATGTTTGTCTTTGTATGAGGGGAGCAGTAGTGTAGCAATTTAGCGTGCTGCTGTGCTAGGAACCTTGCGACCCAAGTTCAATTCCCGCTCACAGCTACCACCAGTGATAGTGACTATCTGAACCGGTTTTAGGCCTCCCCTAGGTCTACTCAGCCTCAAATGATTACCTGGTGCGATGCCTTAACATCGCCACTCGGCAGACAAAGGCGGCCGGGCGTGGTGCTGCCCACCCACCCCCTCGGGTGCTGTAGCGGCCTTCATAGGTGCTCGCTAACAGCACTTGCCCCAATAGTCTGTTGCGGCTATGGGGGCGTAACAGACTGTTGGAGTCTGCTTGCAAAAGCTTTCGGACTTTGTCTCGTCACTGTTTAGAGTGTTGCAGTTTTAAAATTCCATAACACAACGACAAACGCAAATGGCAGATAAAGGAAGGGGATTACAGCCATTACAATATTTTAACTACAATCATTCCACTGTGGTTTGTGATGGGCAGAGGAAAGAAAGCAAATGGTATTTCAATTGACAAAAGAAACCAACAGAGACTTTTTTGCGTTTTTGTTGCAACATTTTCAACGGGGGTTTTTTTTCCTCCCCAAAATGTCTATCTTTCAGCCCAGGAGGCCAACCGATAACAGTAATAACACACATTTGACTCGAGTTCTTCTTCTTTGCCCTTGGAACATTTTCAATTGTATTTTTGCTGAATGACATTTTGCATATTTTGTATCATTTTTTTTTACATTTTCTTTTTAAAAAGTACAACAGCAAGGTGAGGCTTTATTGATTTATATCCGTGCTTTTTTTGTGCATGGTATGTTTTTTTCCCCACGACAAAATATCAGCACAGCAATTGGACCCTAACTTTTAGGACTTGACAGTGTATCCACAATCACACGAATGGCCCATTTTCTCTTTGTTTGGCTGTTAGTTGATGCAGAAGCGAATCCAAATGTCACCCTGACCGAAGAAGGTAAGGAATACCTATCCCCACTTTCTTTTGCTGCTTCTTTTTTGCACGCATTTTTCATTTTTTATTTTGTGAGAAAAAAACTTTGGCCACGTGCCATTTCCACACGTGTGCTAAAGGTATCAATGGGGGGGGGGGGGGGGGCGGTGGCACAGAGGTGAATGCACAGAGGGCTTCGAATCACTCGGTGGTGACCTGGTTTTAGATTATAGGCCATGGCTTTGACCACGGGCGATAGCTAAACGTGTTCTAGACCCACTCCTTTGGAATTCACACTCACCCACTATGGCATGGGGTTTTTTTTCCCAGTCGTGAGGCAAAAAAGGTTGTACATTATTGTTGTTATTGTAAAGGTATTACAGTCATTACAAAGACCGTAGTTTTTTTACAGGAGGGTAAATTTTGCCCTAGAATGAAACGATATATTTTCCTGAATGTTAGACGGATTTCCAGAACGTCAGACTTACTGCCAAGTGCAAATTTTAAAAAAGTTATAGACGATTTATAATTGAAAAATTTGTATGAATGATATTAATTTATCAATGATTTCGCAATCCTAATATGTAACTGATAATATTGGCTGTGAATGTTGTTGTTTGATTTGAAAAAAATGTAAGCAATTACTGGGTTCCATCCTACAGGAATAAAAAAATAAATAGTACTGCGATGATGTAATGTGTAATATAAGTACTTGTAAATATCTCATTTGATAAAGCAAGTTGTATCTCATGTTTACAAGCTGATTTAACGATTAAAACAAATGCATAATATTGCTTCCCACAGACAAATGTAACGTGTGCACTCTACTTTAAATAGAAGAGACAGTTTGCTTTGAACCAGCAGTCTAAATATTTGTGCTAGTTAAGTAAAATGTCTTTGTCATATGTATGTGGAAACATGCCTGAAATATCCTTAATACAGTGAAACCTCACAAAGCCAGACTCAGGAAAGTCAATAATTCGGGAAAAGACAAGCGAGACCACCAAAATAATTGTATACAGATGCATTTTTGTACAGTCAACCAATAATTATCAGAACACTGTTCTCGCACTAATTAAAACCAAACATTTTTTTTTTATTTTACCAGGTAAGGCCCACTGAGCTATATAGCTCTGTTTTCAGAAGCGACCTGGTCACAAATGATCTTTATGGTGGTATCACGGGGTACCAAATAACACAAAATGGCCGAGGCAATTAAATATTTTATTTCTGGGACACTATTTTTTTACAGGGGTGTTACTTAACTCGGCGACTGGGGGACCAATAAATCCGAAATCAGTGCCACACTCCGCGATGTTGAAACGCCAAACATTACAGCATAAAAAAAATCCGTTATCGAAAAGTTCAACTTTGTATCGTGCATCACGTACAGCTCGTCGAGATGAGTCGATTGCCGCATCGCCGACCATCAACAGACTAACAATGACTGCATCACGGACATTGTGCGGGAGCCGGGGTGCTCTGGTGACCCATTATGGGTACCGCCACGAGGTTCAAATGGCAGCTCAATTAAATGGCTCATCACGTGGAAGTTTATACCCTAAACGCACGTTTCTATATTAAATCGACACGTCAATATCTTATGGATTGCACAAGCAATCTGCAGTACACGCTGGTACCGCACCAAATATTCTAAAGTTTTCGGTTTGGAATTCGGTGAACCGTGCGTACGAATGCCACGCAACATCCAGGTGCTTTGGGATGGCGCCTCTTTAACTTTCTCGTAGTTATATTTAATATTTACTTTACACGTTTTTTTTTCAGTTTGCGAGAATCGGTTTCTTAACTCAGATTAAACTTATAAAATACTTGTTTTTTTGAAAGTATTATTAAAACATTTAGTTGTTTGTTAATAACTTTATAATTTCATGTATATGGTATTAATTACGTGTAAATGTAATTTATCGTTAATATGTGCTATTTTATTATTCTCAGTATGCCGAACAACCTCTATAACGGGAGAGGCGCACCCTCAATTAGTTTGCCTTTGAGAGGTCTCACTGTATAAAGATTCTTGATTAATCCCAGATTCTTATGGCTGTGGCCGAGGGTTGGCATTGGTAGAACACTCAACTCATAAGCAGACAGCTGCGAGATCAATTTCTGGTCATAGGTTTTACGAAACTCATCAACTCTCTGAGGTTGATTCAAAGAATATTTTTTTGTGGGACGTCAACAGTTGTTATCAGTTTAGGATATGGCCTCTGCCATGAGATCAAATCAGTTTAATCACTAGCTCAGGACTGCTCATTTGATAACAGACATTTGTTTATTTCCCTTTTTTTAAACAATGCTTGCTAATATAAGATGTGATAATGTTACTTTGTTTTGCTTGCCTCATGACCTCACTAATAGTGTTGCCTTCTTGTTGCTGCTGCTGCTGCTGCGTGCAACAGGGAGGTTCAGAGAAAAGGCAAGCATCTTGCACAAGGCGGCCAAGAAGTTACAGTCTGGACAGGACGAACTGGAAGGTCAGCGCTGCTACCGCTGCAACTCTGCCCCTTGATCCCCAACTCATCCATGCTCCTACACAGCCCCGGCCTCTACTCCGAAACCCACATTCACATTTGGGGATCGATCGATGAGCCCCCTTCTCCAAATCCTCACAGTCATTCGCATTTATACCACACAATTCATAGTGAAAGGGAGTACACTTTTCAGGTATGGATTTTATTCACGTTCCTCACACCAAAGACAAAGATCCCCCGTATAGCGTTAACAGACTGTTGGGGCAAGTGCTGTTAGCGAGTACCTATGAAGGCCGGCACGGCACACAAGGGGGTGGGTGGCCAGCACCACACCCGGCCGCCTTTCTCTGCCCAGTGGCGATGTTTACACATCATACCAGGTACTCGTTTGAGGCTAAGTAGACCTAGGGGAGGGCCAGGACAAGTTCAGATCATTGCTATCATTGATTGTGGCAGTGAGTGGGAATCGAACTCTGGTCCCTGGGTTCGTAGCGCAGTGCGCTAACCACTACACCACCGCTACCCATGCACACCACAACGCACACCCCTCATATGCCTTCTCTCTCTCCATGAACTTTCTCGAACCTTCCAGATGTTCCTCCAAGCCCCTCATTCTTCTTTTCCCTCCAAATATCCCCCCTTCAGGTCTCCTCCAACCCCCTGCCTCCTTCTCCTAGGCTCAATTACTGCCACCTTTGTTTATTTATTAATCCTGAGTGTGATCCCGTAGCCCTACGTAACCTCAGCGTGTCCCGACACGACCTTAACACTAGTGTGGTTAATAAAAATCACTTTTTCAGAAAATTCCATGGACAGGCAGACCTCGCTGGATGCGGGGGTTACGTTCCTGGAAAATGGCGTGTAGGGCAAAACCGCATTCCACAAATAATCGACATTATTTGGAAAAATAGGGTTGCATTCCTGGGTCCAAAATGATCACCGCCTCCCTCTTTCTTGAACTAATTCTACATGATTTCCACCCTTGTTTTTGTACTAAAGGATTTGGAGCCACTCTCCATTACTTGTGTGTGTGTACACTGTGTTTCAATTTCCCCTCAACACAAAACCCCTGTCTCCATTACTCGTCCCCCACCGCGGCACTCATGCCCAACGCTCACCCCTGACACTGAATTGCCAGCCCAATGCTCGCCCCTAACACTCTCACTTGAACATTAATCATTCGCCATCTCGGCTTCTGTATAACTGACGTCCTCAACAACTGGACGGTTAGATGCATGCGGCAATGTTTGAAAGTTTGCGTTGTGCGTGTTGAATGTGTTACATTATTCCACAAAAACACACACACACACACAAACATACGTGGAAAATAAAACGATGTCACTCTCACGGCACTACTTTCCACCGCGGAGATGAGAATCTTAGCAACGTCAAACCGCTTCGAGCTGAAACATCATCCCCGTGTTCTGGAAAACAGGCCTCATTAGGTGCACCATGCAGAGCCGAAACAGGCATTCGATGAAGCCGAGTTGTGCAAAGTTTTTCTGAAGATAGAAATACACTAATCCAAAACAAAAATAACAACTACAGTCATTCAACCACTCGGTAGCGAATCATTCATTTTTTTATTTGTAACACACATAAATGACGTCACCACGGCACCTGTACCAGGCTATGTGTACTGTAATTTGAGGCCCCAATGAAGTGTCGAAAGCTCAATAGCAGGAGGTTACTGGTCAAGCCCAGGTGTTGTGAGTTAACTAAAGGAAGGAACTTGTAAATGCGCCACGAAATGCAGATTACTTCACTGACAACAATATACATATTATCTCTGTTTAATTATTTGTGACATAAATCAAATTTAACTGAAAGAAATTGGACAAAGGGTATGTGTGTTTTTGATACGAAGCAAGCCACCAAAGGGCATGCTAATATTGTCGTCGCATATAATTTATTCCATAATTATAGCTCAAATTTGTTAATGTCACACAAACTAAATGTGTAGGCATAACTGGCAAAATATGCAAGTTCATCTGATCTGAATATACACAATAAATCGACGACTGTTCTCTACCCCCCCCCCCCCCCCCCCAGATAAAAAAAAACACTTGATATCTGCCTATGTGCTTTCCTTACCAAAGTAATAAACTAACTCTGGAGCAGTTTTGACCTTTTGGGTCTCATTAGGAGAACGAATTGGGCTTGTTGAACAAATACTTGTGGGTTGCCGGATTGAATTGGCAAGACCACTCCATTAAATACCAAAGGGCCCTGGTCAATGCAGAAAGCAACGATGTACGAAGGCCATAATACTACCAGACTAAAGATTGTCCTATTTTGCTGTGGCAATATAGAATGGGTGTTTCATTGTTTGTTTCATTGTTTATTTCATTGTTTGTTTCATTGTTTGTTTCATTGTTTTTTCATTGTTTTTTTCATTGTTTGTTTCATTGTTTGTTTCATTGTTTGTTTCATTCTTTGTTTCATTCTTTGTTTTACTCTTTGTTTCATTGTTTATTTCATTATTTGTTTTACTGTTTGTTTCATTGATTATTTCATTGTTTATTTCATTGTTTAGTTCATTGTTTGTTTCATTGTTTATTTCATTGTTTATTTCATTGTTTATTTCATTGCTCACAATGCCTCGAAATCAATGCAGAATACATATTTATTGAATGATCTAGTTTTAAGGCATCAGCCCTGTTACATATGTAGGTGTCAGTTCGATGATGTTCACACGTCAGGATTATGGTACACTTCTTCCAAACTCTTTGGTTCTTTTGGTAAAGTCACGTAGGTAAAAAATAAATAAAAATAAAATAAAAAATGAAATCAACTCAATTAAATCACGTTTAAATTTTTGTTTCATCTTATTTACATTTATTTTACCGACGTGACTTTACCAAAAGAACCAAAGAGTATGGATCCTTGCAATCACGAAAACTTCAAATTTAGACTTCCAAAGTTGGTTTAAATTCCTCAAATTTGTTGGTTGAATGAAATAAAGAAAACCGATAACTTTTTAATCAAACAAATGTTGTACAAAATCTAGTCTGCTATAACAAATTGAGATTGAATTTTAAACATCCTATTTGATGTTTCATAAAGTACTTAACAAAGGAAAGACTTGCAAATCAGTATTAACGAATCAAAATAATAATACCCGGGCCTTGTTGTGAAACTGATATTAGGTGTGATATTAAATATGCATGGAAAAATAACAAACCTTTTGGCTGACTGGGTGAGTCATTGCATTACTGTACGTGGGCAATGTTATAAAGGTGGAACATTCATTGTTAAAGAGTAATTGGAGTTTAATTTGCCCACCGCTGTAATTAAAGAGAATGCAATTAGAATGTATGTCACACCTATATGCGACCACATCTCAAAACGTTGCACAGACGCACTGGGCATGTTTATATTGGGAAGTGTGTTGCAGGCTGTGCCACAATGACCACAGAGTGAAACTCATATCCCAGATACTCTGAGCCTGTGGCAGTGCAGGGCCCTCACGGCATGGACGGTTTTATTGGCATAATTATCAATACAAACCATAACCAAACCGTGAAACCTCTGACTTCACAAGACTTATGAATCAAGCTCAATCCCCAAGCAGGCCAGGGGTGGGGTTGATTAAACTTAACTAAACTATTAAACTCTTTTTTTTATTTTGCCAGGTAAGGCCCACCTAGCTATATAGCTTCTTTTTAGAAGCGACCTAACCACAAAAAGATAGTTTAAGTGGCTGATTGCGTGAAAATATATAGCAGCCAAATACTCTAAAAGCACGCTGATTCTAAATGTAGAGGGGAAAACTGGAGGTCTTGGAGAAAAAATCAACACCATCACGGGCAGTGAGACACAGCAAACTCCAAGTATACAGGCGTCGTCGTCAGGATCGAACCCACGGCCTCCTGTACACCTCCAATACGCACAGTGTATTGGAGGTGTACAGGAGGGTTTTTGTTAGGTTAGATCACGTAAAAATAAAAACCCACCACCACCCGGCACAGCCAATTAGTACGGTTTGTCACGTGAACAAAACATGCCAATTAGTTACCAGTTCAGCACACCAGTGTATCGGTCGCGAAAGCCTACGTGTTTCAAGTAAAGTTCAACATCCACACCTGCATACTCAACTCGCTCATTGCATGGCAGATTAGCGGCGTGACTCGGGTTCTGCAGTGGAAACAGAACCTGGTGCCTCCTGGGCCACGCCGGGCAAGCTTGGCACCCCCCCCACCCCCCCGCGCGTGAACTCAGTCGCATGGCGATGGAAAAAGAAGTAAGAGGAGAGGCGCTTCTCTAATTCTGGCCCTTGGTGGTGATGATGATGGTGGCGGTGGCGGGGGTGGTTTGCGTTTGGCTGCTGTGCAGGAGAAGAAGGGAGGCGACCTGCGAAGCGGGAGCAGCCGAATACCGTGAGCATCGCCGTACCGGTGGGGCCGCCCGGGCTGCAAAACGGCAACGCCCGGCACAACGAGGAGATCCAGAGAGACGTACGCACCCACCCCCGCTGCAGCACGCTGAGACCTCTGCCTAGGAGGGAGAGAGGGCAACATCCGCCCTATACGTGCTCCGCCACATGCGATAGAGATTACCTCTAAGCACTGGCATAGGGCATTTGTTGGACAGAAAGCAGCCAACGTCAGTGCACGTTCATTCATTGTAAACCAGCGTAGCCAACAATGTTGACGTATGATAATGTACCGCCTTTTTCAATCCACTGCTGGATGGAGGTCTTCCCGTTCTGTGTTAGCCGTGGAAGTTGACCGGCCATATATCGCCACAGTGGTCAGTGAAGGGTAGGTGAAGAGGAGCCCAGGATCAGTTCAGATATTATTCACCACTGGTGTTCACCGTCGCCAGGAATCGAACTCGGGAGTGTGGGTTCATAGCACATGCATTAACCACTCCGCCAACACTCCCCCCCCCCTCCCACAAACTTAGCCAAGAAGACAGCCAATAGGCATCAACACAGAGAGACCGATTTACAGAATGTATTTCGAGGCTTCGCTGTAGCAAAGAACCACCTTATTGTTTATAATAACTGTTATTTTAGATAAATAACGCAAAGCCTACTTGCAGGGAGAGATTCGGTGTCACACATAGGAATATTGAGGCCTTGCATAATCCCCCCCATAAGCGCAGTCTTTAGAGAAACTGCTTTTGTTCGCTTTGGTCATGAGACATTGGGCAAATAGACACTTTACCTACCCACAGTTCCGAAACCTTTTGGGAATAACTACCCGACATTAAATCTAGCGAACACCAGTGACCTACAGAACAATTATATTTTACTTGCTTGGTCAAAAATAATCACATTTCACAGCAGCAGGCTGTCTGTCTGATGCCCAGGCTTTCATGGGTACAACAAAAATGATAATTTCATTGCTGGTATTGCAAAATGTCACGCATATTACTGTTAAACATTTCCCCTTGTTCCCAACAGCGGCTGGATGTAATTTTCACAAAACTTTTGACGATCGAAATTGTTGTTTTTATGCTTCACCTGCTGACAGAAACATTTTTGCGACCAAACTTAAAGCCTAAAGTCACGTAGATAGAAAATTAATAGATCGCAACGCAGATTCTCCTGCTGTGTTTGTCTCACCTGATGACGGCTGCTTGTGTTGCGATCGAAACATCACGTGGTCTATTAATTTTCTACCTACGTGACTTTACCGAAAGAACCAAAGATTCCTGTAGTCATGAAAGCTTCAAATCAAGAATTAAAGCCAAAACACAACTTTAAAGCTTCACGTTGATGTTCATATGCCTGTGGGTTGTTTATATTGCTCAGTCGAGTTAAGTCACTCAAGTATATTGGGATATTTCGTTTATCCTATCCATTGACTGATCTTTGCATCATGTATATTATACATAGCTGGGATTAAACAGAAACTTTGTATACGCCACATTACCTAATGTGCGCAGTTTACTTTGCAAATATAAACAGTGATATGTAAAATGAGAATAGGTTTTACCCTTTCTGGCAATAAAACAGGTGTTAAGTTGTTCAAACACCAAAGAGACGATACCTTTTGCAAGTAATCATGTCTGCATTAACCACACATACTTGTGGAGAACATATAAACAAACATCCTCTGATAATATTGGCATTGTCTTTAAAACTGATTGGCCTACACCAGAGACAGCTTTCTTTTTGGCCTCGTCTCAACCACCAGTGTCAGACCAGAGAACAACGCCAAAAGGCGAACAGCACAAAGACAACGCCACGCGTATCAGAACGTTTATAACTCAGGCTGAGTACCTCTACCTGGCTTTCTGGCAATGAAATGGGAGGTGTTAAGATGTTCAAACACCAAATAGACGTCTTTTTTTCCATGCTTTGATACTGGCAAAAAGGTTCCATGATAAAAACAGTGACGCTTAAGATGTTTTGAGATTGTTATTTTTATACATATATAATTACTTCTTAAACGTTGTTCAGAAAGTTTGTTTAACAAAATGCCAACCTCGATGAAGGGAAACAAGTTCAAAACAGCAGAATTGTGTAAATGTATATGCAGACATTATTACCCCCTCCCCCAGCCTTTCGCACCTGAATGGCTCACAAGTGACGGTATCACATGTATCCCTCTATTTAAGACCGAATAAGGTGGATTTCTCCACAACTCTGTCTGTCCGCCTGATGATGCTTGGTGTAATTACTGGATAAGCGTCGTACTGGAATTGTAAATGTTGTGTGTTTTACTCTCCAACACACCAGTGTGCTGAGCAAAGTCACAAATTGGCATGTATTGCTTACGTGACAAACATCACTAATTGGCAGTGTCGGGTGGTGGCGGGTTTAACGACACATTCATATTCACGCGACCTCACCAACAAACCTCTATTTTGAGCAGAATTGTGTCTGTCTAGGGCAACTGTTGAGTGATGAATCAAAGAGCAGAATCGAGTGCCTTTGGAAAGAGGAACGTGATACCTCAATGCAACGGAGTGTACAAATGTGTCTAAAAATACGTTGCATTGCCCATCGGTGCATTCCGCCAGCTATGACAGGGATCACACATATTTCACCTGACAAATGAAAATATCTGAAGGGTGCACGCACAAGCAAGGAGAGACACATTGCGTGGAATTATTCTGAGAGACAGAGCAAGGAACACATAGATCAGGGAAACAAAACAAATCAGATACATCACATTATTTTCTAGTATGGCATTTGAAAAACAAGCTCCAACTGAATGTTTTATTTTGTAAGCCATCCCACGGCATCCGGGGTAGCTGAGTGTAGTCCCCTTGTTCCACCAGAGTACGCATGTATTAGGCAGTAAATCGGTGATATACTTGATCAGACATATTAAATGTAAGAAAAGTTAATGGGCTTGAGCAGTACACATAGCTCGATGGGATGGTGGCCTACGGATGGGACTGCCAACAGGAATGGCCGTCAAAGGATAGAACGCGTCCAAGAGTACGGCAACAGTGGAGATGGAGCAATGAGATCAGGTTATGTGCAGTGAGATGAACGGGAGCGGGAGCAGCACTGGGGGGTGGGGATCATTCCTAGATCGAGAACTCAGACTCGGTTCCAGGGCCTTCTCTTGTGCAGCACCCACATGTTTGGAACGTGCTCATAACCAATATGGATCATCCACATCTACATTCTCTACCCGTGTGTGTTAAGGCCATGCTGCAGGATTAGCTCTACCACGATTGTGAATGCTACAACTAAGCTTTGTTATGTCTGAGGCTGTATATATATGGTTTATTTACATACATTTGAGACGGGATTTGTGGCACAGTTTTTTTTATTTGTATTTAACACTATTTATTTGGTTTGCAGAAGTGTTTGGCATGGGTTTCACGTAAATTGTTTTTTTCTTTTTGCCTTTGTTTATAATTCTCACCCTGCAAGGTCCTCGAACTGATGCCACTGCCACCAGTCTTGGGTTGTGGTCGTCCTTGTACAATGGGCTGTTTGGCTCAGTGGGCCTCACTAGCTGAAATAAAGTCTGAGTCTGGGAGGCTTTTATGCAGCAGTGGATAGACAATGGTTGATTACAATGACATCTGAAAGAAAGCAGCATTCGCATTGTGATAAAAATTGTATAACGATGATTGAGCAAAAACACAGGAAATCAAATGGACCATGTGGCTAGATAAGACAACAAATGGTGTACAACATTGATAATTATGGAATAACAGCTGAGATAACACACAGAGGGATAATAAAAGTGGAGATGGTGTAATAATGTCAGGGCTCATGTGGGAGTAACATACATTTCAGCTGCACAGGACCAGGGTGAATGGCATTGCTTGTGAAGAGTTTTCCGCTCAGAAGCGTACAATGCACGATTGACAACGATTATGTACGGGAAAACTGATGAAGGCCATTGTAAGCTGCGACAGGCCAGGCGATTTCTCAAGTGTGTAGTATTTAATTGGAAAGTGATGAGAGGAAGTATCGGGCAACATGCCTGATATAATGACAATTGCAGGGGTGGACGTATGGAGTGACTGGCCCCACCATGTGAATGTGGCACTCCACCACAGCTTCAGGAATGGCAACAGAGATGAGCACTGTCCCACGCTCATGTGAGCAGGGAGTCATCGTGGCTTCACTTTAATTTGACCTACGTAGGTAATCGCTTTTGACATCCTGAAAGCTAGCACCCATTGTGTCGTCCTCAAAAGGGACGATGGGTCATGTCGGATTCTAAATGGCCAGGGCCTCTTCTGAAAAAGAGCCATAGGGCTCAGTGGGCCTTACCCTGATTAAAAAAAAAGTTTTTAGTAGAACTGACAAGCTCTTGATCATGCGTCAAACACTCCCGCCAAAGTTGCCACCGCCCGTCCCGATCTCTTTTGTAAGTCACGAAGCAGGTGTCGATATAAAAAAAAATGTAACAAATCAATAAATAACGACGATAAACGAGTAACGGTCGTCCTGGGAACGCGCAGGCCGACACGACGGGAGCCGTCAGGGAGGCCGCGAGGCCGGCAGCGGAGGAGGAGGACGGCGGCGGCGATGACGACAACGAGCAGCCCCTCAGCCTGGCGTGGCCCAACAGCTGCCGCAAGAGGATCACCTTCCTCATCATCTTCCCAATCATATTCCCACTGTGGCTCACGCTGCCAGACGTCAGAAACCCCGTGAGTTTTCACACAGAGCGGGGTGGGCAGCGGAGGCGGCGGTTGGGGGGGGGGGGGGGCACGGATTTCATGGCTTTGTTGGATAATTTTTGTAAGAGAAGGGACGGTGGTGGGTTGGGCGTAATGGGAGAGAGGTAATGTACTTCTTTTTTAAATTTTTAGCTTTGTGAAGGGCACAGGTGCATTTGGATGCAGCCTTTCTTGGAACACTGCAGGGAACGCATTTCTGGAAACAGATCAATGTTGTCACACGCTGTAGTCTGGCAGGGGATTCAGCATCATTGTGCTATTCATAAATATTGCATGAAGGGCGACGTGAGCTGGAAACAAATAATATGAGTGGAGCAGCTTCTTTGAGTGTGTTTTATAGACACATGCTGTATATGCAACAGTTCAATTACACGCTTACATCTTTTTTTTACGGAACTAACGAAAATTGCAAGTAACTTATGTGTGGTATTGCCATTGGTTATATTTATGAAATATGCTGCAGACAGTCACAAACTTTATAACCAAAATCGATTTTTGCTTCTGATCGCAATTTATTCCAATTGTGCTCTTGGTGTTGAGTTGTGAGATAAGGAATACATCTCACAGAGCCATACGCCCAGTGTGACAGATAATGACTGTAGAAGAGATTGTTCATGGGACTTTCCTAAAACAATCTTCCCAAGTGGCAATATAGCTATGGGGATGTGCGCTCTCACACACACTTTGCTACGAGACTGCTTGTCGCGTGAACGTCAAACAGATATTTTTACTTCCCAAAGCTGGACTTCAGAGGCAAAATTAAGTTAAAAACCACATTTTATGGTGAAAACAAAATGTGTGTGTCAAGTCCTTGGTGACCAGGCTGAGACCAGCACTTTGCTGCGAGAGCCCGGTTTAATCACAGGCAGCCGAAACCCGGATTCGAAACGAGATCTCAGCGATGCCAGCCCAGCGCTTTAATACTTGAGCCGCCAGGGTTCGCCTTCTAAAAGCGGAAACTGGTATAATTTTTTTTATTTTTTGTCAAACTTCTTTTGTGTTGTTGCAGTCAGCAAAGAAATTTTTTGTGGTGACCTTCTTCGGAGCCATCCTGTGGATTGCAGCGTTCTCCTACCTCATGGTGTGGTGGGCCCATCAGGTTCGTCCTCTGCTGTATTGACACACCCATATATCCGGCATATACTTTGTTCCATTGATTCACTTCACAGTCGCTTAATTCGGTGAAAGAGATGCCGCATTTAAAGTGTGGAAAGTTGAGTAACATGTCTAATTTAAATACTGACTGGAATCTTCAAATTAAACGCCCTAACAACAGTCCAGATGTGCCACATTAAAAAAATACCCGTAAATTACTCAATGGGGATTTTATGAAGCTATAATCTCCCCCTACTGACAGATTAAAGCCCTAGGTCAGACCCGTATATATGAGAATATCCTAGGCTCTCTAGTGAAAACTAAACTATTTTATTTACCAGGTAAGACCCACTTAGCTCTGAGCCATTTCTCAGAGGCGACCTGGTCACACATGATAGCTGATCGAAGTGGCTTATCATGACGTGGGAATGAATAGTAGCAGCCCAATACTCTAAATGCGTGATGTTTATTATAAATGCGGGGTGGGGGGGGGGGGGGGTGCAAAGCCGGAGGACAGGTAAAATTATTCTACTCGATCACTGTCAGAGAGAACCCGCAAACTCCAAATATACAATATAACATCTCACCACCGTGGCACTAACCTAGTTCACTAGAATAAATAAATAAACATGCATTTTAAGAAATAGGAATAACATAGATGGGGGAGGGGGGGGGGCATCATTGTGATGAAATAGACAGCAGTGCCAAGGGACCGTTAGTTAAAGCTGCTGTTGAGAGCAGGCAGGCTGTCCGATCTGTTGTTTCGGTAACTCGTGGACACCAGCTGAGTGGCAGAGAGCTCTGCGCTTAACGCAGGACTCGACAACGTTGCCAACACCGCGACGCGGCTCTCAGCCACCACCTTGCCTGCCACCTTGCCTGCAATTTGATCATCGTTATCCATTCTCTGGGATGCTTCCGTGGAGTAACGGTCAGCACGCCGGACTTGCAATCCAGAGGTTGCTGGTTTAGTCTCCTGGCACCCCTCCGATTAGCACGGTTGGCTACATATGGTGCGAAAGAAGTTCAACATGTATACAATGGGGCGAGTTTCATAAATCCCCATGCCTCTGTCCATTAAACAGTACGAATTAGTAAATCACAGTGAGTCGATAAGCAGGTAACTTTTGGTGGAGTAAAGTGTGGGTACTCCCACCTTTTTCAACATACACTTTTAAATATTAATTTTATTTTGAAACTCACATCTTTAGAAATGGTTTTTTTGTGTTTAGCTTGTTGTCCTTCTTCCACACCTTCTCCAGGGCTTCCCAAATTTGCACAGACACACACACAGTGTGTAAACCCGCAGTTACAAATCAGTTGGTGAATATGCTCTGTGCATTTCTATTTTCTATGCTACAACTTCAGAGTTTACCAACGTCATCTCGGAAGCTGAGTGTTTGCCTAAAGTTTCACAAATACCACAGTAGACGTCAATACTCGTGCGTGTGGATCATATCAATCAAACCTTGTGCACTATTTATTCATCTGTAAAATAGAGGACATCTAACCAAAATGTCCTCATTTCCTGGCAGTGAGATGCCGACTTACAGGATCCTCACATCTCCTCCCGTGACCCTCAGGTGGGAGAGACCATTGGCATCACGGAGGAGATCATGGGCCTCACCATCCTGGCAGCAGGAACCTCCATCCCTGACCTCATCACCAGCGTGATCGTCGCTCGCAAGGGACTGGGTGACATGGCCGTCTCCAGCTCCGTGGGCAGCAACATCTTCGACATCACCATTGGGTGGGCTTCAACATTTGCACGCAGACTCTTATCGATGTACCCCTGCAATGGTGCTGTTTGTTGCTGGCCGCTTGATATTTTGGGTCTCTGGACCTATGCTCAGCAAACTGTGCTTGAACGGTGTCATGAGATGAACATGTTTTCTTTTAGAACTACAATCACACAAACACATTCTCCAAATACACTCACCACTCACACTCTCTAAATACACACACCAGACACACACACTCACCAAACACACACACCACTCACCAGAGATACTCACCACTTACCAAACACACACACACACACACCTCTGACACCACGCTCACCACTCACTACACGCCCACTACAAATACACCACCACACGAGGCTTAACTTCATTGATGCTCTTGTTGCTATTTGTCGCGTTTGATCACGTTGGTGACTCAGGTCAGTCTTGCAAATGAGGCTTATCCTGGTCTCCTTGAGATCTCACTAGGTTAAACAAAATCCATTTGACACTTGACGACGAGTGCATCAGCTGATGTTAAAGACACACATTCCAGAAGATGTCATTGAAGAACTGATTCTGAAGTTACTTCAATAGATTGCTCATCAATGCTGGATGCTACCGTGGTGCGACGGTTGGGCGAACTGAACTTGCAATCCAGAGGCCGCCGGTTTCATCTCCTGACGCTGTGGTTGAAACAAGGGGCAGGTTTCTTAAATCCCACCGCCTCTGTCCAGCCAGCGGTATCCATGTGTACACCATAATTTATCGAGCTGCAGGTCGAATGTTGCAAGGAAAATTGTGGGTAATCCCACATTTTCCAAAACTTTCTTGCCAGCACGGAGGAGGTAAGGCCCACTGAGCTATATAGCTGTTTTTCAGAAGCGACCTGGCCACAAATGAAAGCCCAACGAAGTGGCTAATCATGTGGACATTTATAGCAGCCAAATATTCTAAATGCATGTTTCTAAAGGTGCAGCAAAACAACGGAGGACCCGGAGAAAAATCCACGTGACCAAGGGGAGAGCATGCCAACTCCAAATATACAGGTTTAAGGGTCTGGATCGAACCCATGATCTCCTGTATACCAGGCGAGGTAGCTGACATCTCACAGCCGCCAGCAGTAACGTGAGCAAAAAATTGAAAGGCAACACATTTGCCTGTCCATATTATATGCTCTGGGAGCGATTATTCATCACATCACAACGAATTTTACATGTTGAGTACCCAAAGATGAATTTCATTAAACATCTCATTTAACTCAGTTGTTTTGTGTTGTGATTGGCGAGCAAGCTGAGATCATAAACTCGCTACACTAAAGAATCTGGTTTAATTGCAGGTGGCTGCCGAGATTCAACTCAGGATCATACAGGTGCCATTTCGATTAACAATGTTACTTTGCAATAAAAAACAACTAAACACTTTTTTGTATTATTGTTATTAAACAAAGTCATTTAAATGAGAAAGCCATGCACTAAGCAACGGAGCACGCAAAGCTACATAAACACAAATTATGTTGTAAATTAAGGAAAGCGGAAACCCACATTTTCAAATAAATTAGTGACATTGAAAATAAAAACACGGCTCAGTGCGTCAAAATAATCACGCAGATTGCACCCAGTTGCAAAGGTTCAATTCTGCAGTGAGCACAGATCGCCGCGTCTCAGCTGCTGAAAGCTCAAATGAAAACTCCTTTGCCCATCAGCCATCACGCATTGCAGCTCGTAACCTAGGAGATGCGAGTTCTGCAACACAGCTTGGATTTGGGGGCATGCATTCTAATCAACCTTGTTGTCGCCAAGCGACAGTCATATTGACAGCGACCGGTAATGCATCAAGGAAAGAAATAATGTAAACCGGCTTAAATCAGCGTCCCTATTACTGGCCCGCAATGCTCCTCCTGGTAACCCGATGAACGCGAGATGATTTCGATTTCAACGTTGGAGGTGTTCAGCATTTTCATTATCTTTTAAAATGTCAGGCAGGAATTAATTTCTGCAACATGCCTGTATAACACGTAGGCTTTCGCGACCAATATTATTCATAATAAAGGTTTTTGGGTTAGATCGCGTTATAAAGGTTTTTGGGTTAGATCGTGTTATTTATAACTAACGCGATCTAACCCAAAAACCTTTATTATGAAAAATGCCTGCATGTTTTCCAGTGTGCAAAACTTTGTCTTCATCATTGGAAGCAGACTGCCTCCATAAATATTTTCTAATTGTCTATTATTGATATATCGCAGACTATTATCTCTTGCAATATCTTGGATAATCACACTCGGTGGGTTATTTAATGAAAAGTTTGGGAATTGTTGCCTATATGCATTTCCCTAGTTTTTTCTTGCTTAAAGAAAAATGTCAGAACCAAAGAGAAATATGTTGTTTTTTATGTATATGTAGTGACTGACTTGGAGACGTAACTTCTTGGAGGCAATTATTTTATCAAACACCGAGAACACTTTGTACACTTTGTACAATACACGCCCTACACTGTTACACACTCTGCTGTCTCTCGCTTAAACGCAACTCTACACTGGTTGCTAGCCTATACACAACGCGAGCCGTCTGACACTGACGGCTCTGAACCCAGACAGCCAACTACGTCTAGCAGCGCAATGTCAAGTGGAGACGACAACGGCGATGATGGTGACGATCTTCAGCAGCAACGACGACGGGGATCCCACTCCAAACGACAGCCCCGAGGTCCCCTCCCTGGGCCCCTCTTTTACTGGCAGCGTGGCCCGGCTCCGCCCCGGCCACGCCCCCCTTCTGGAACCTACGAGTGGGCTCTCGACGTGTCCCCTCCGTAACCTTTCCCCTAGATCCCTCTCGGGTCTATCACGTGGCCTGCTGTCAGTCAGGGCTGCTTCAAGCTACAGATCCCCTTCCCTGCCAGCAGCCGGCGCTATGCTACTTAGTGATCAATTCTATGTCACTACATATGTATATATAGAACGTGTTTCGCACTGTACGTAGCCAACTATGCTAATCGGAGGTGTGGGGGAAGGATAACAAACTAAACAAAAAAGCAGTTCTAAAGAAATGAGTTTGCAATATAAATTTAAGAATCTAAAATGTAGTTGCATTTCAAGACTATATGTATCAATAATAATGTTTAGTTTTATACATCATGTTATCGTTAATAAAAAATACATTTTTAGTTTTTTTTTTTGCATCTCACAATCGGTGAACAAACACAGAAAAGCTGGAAGGCAGCAGCCAAATGGTGAGCTAGTGCCAACAATTTCCCAAGCTCTGCAGTCCTCCATATATTAAGGTGTTTTTCAGCGAATTACTTCGTGTTTATATTATGGGCTGTCCAGCACATGCTTGAGGCCTTGTTAAAACGAGTGAAAAATATTTTAATGTCTTGGACACACGTGGCCGACTTTCAGGTGCACTCACGTAGCACACCCTTGTGATCTCACAACCACCTTGCTGCCACGGTGGCGAAATGTTAACCACCTCGCCTGACTTAAAGCTTTCGTGACTGCAGGATTCATATTCTTTGGGTCTTTCGGTAAAGTCACGTAGATAGGTTCAAAGAAAATAACAAAAAACGACAACGTTTCCATCGCAACACAAGCAATCGTCATCAGGAGAAAAAGACCCAAATAATACCTCGTCTGTTATACAGGAGGTCGTAGGTTGGTCCCGACCCTGACGCCTGTATATTTGGAGTTTGCATGTTCTCCCCATGGTTGCGTGGATTGTTTTCTCCGGGTCCTCCGCTTTTTTCCCTTCGCATTTAGAATCAACATGCATGCATTTAGGGTATTTGGCTGCTATAAATTTCCACATAATGATAAGCCACTTCGTTGAACTATCATTTGTGGCCAGGTCGCTTCTGAAAAAATACCTATATAGCTCAGTGGGCCTTACCTGGTAAAATAAAACATAGTTTATAGTTATTTTGTTTGTTTTTCAACGGTTTTACTTAACTTGATTCCTCTGTTTGTCGTGGTCAAATCTTGTAATCAAAATTTCGTCCCACTTCCCGTTGTCCAATCAATTCCACATTTTGCACACGTACTCAGACCCGGTGACAATGCATACCTGTATCAAAATCGGCATCAATTAATTCAATATTTTTAAAGCAATTGACATTTTGTATGGACGCCTTATTATTTACATATAAATTTGTGTAGGTCAAAAACGTCGTGGTCCCTAAACTGTGGAATCGGCTCGTACACAAAGCAGGCGCCGCGTGTCTCAGGAGCCATTAACGTACTTCTCGACCGTGAGTTAAACGAAGTTGTTCATAAAACCGTTGTTTTTAAAAAGCTTTTTTAAAGGAGTTTTTTTTTTACCTTGGGAATCCTCTGCCAACTCCACTGGCAAGGTGGGATCTCCATTAAACGAGGAGCTCCATGCTACCACGTTTGGTACACTGTGGGAGTTGCTCCTGGGTAGTTTTACGAAACCCGGTGAGAGAGTCAAATGTGATATATTTTTCTTACAGGTTTATCCAATTACATTAATCCAAAAAGAGACAGGTTAATAGGTTGTTATTTTTTTTTACCAGAAGTAAATATCAAACGTCACTTTACCAACGATTCATATAATTTAAGTCATGTGTTAAAACGTCAATCAAACTGATTAATAAAAAAAATAAGCAGGCTTGGGCAGGACACATCTGGAAGGAATAATTGGCGATGGTCAACAATGCTGACGGGAGCGACAGCCAGGATATGGGGCGCGTCCAAGAGGCAATGCCTACCGAGGAGGCGGAGCGATGCAATTAGCTCTGGTGCAGGCGCTGGATGGATCGTTACAGTGCAGGGTCATGCGAGGTGGCAACGCCTCGGCGAGTCCTTCGCTGAGTAGGGAATTGACCGTGGCTGACGATACAAATTACAAAAAAAAAGCACCAATTGGTTCTGTTCTCAGTCGCACCTTCATTTCGGTCGAGACATCGCCCACTGACGTGTTTCCCTTTGCCTCTCTCCTCTCTATCCTCCTCTTCCTCGTTCCCAATGTCCTCCGTGCAGACTGCCCTTCCCCTGGCTGCTCTTCGCCATGCTCCACTCGTTCGAACCGGTGAAGGTGAGCAGCAACGGGCTCTTCTGCGCCATCGTGCTGCTATTCCTCATGCTGCTCTTCGTCATCATCTCCATCGCCCTCTGCGGCTGGAAGATGAACAAGGCGCTGGGAGGCATAATGTTCTTGCTCTACTTGCTCTTCCTGGTGACGAGCGTGCTTCTGGAGGACCGCGTCATCGTCTGCCCGATCACCGTCTGATCACGCGTTCCACTCAGCCCTGGCCGTGCTGGAAGTCGAGTCACGCGTCAATCCTCAAGCAATGCCATTCCCTCGCTTCGTCGTTACGTTGCATGTTGTCGTTTGTTGCTGTCGTCTCAAGTCTCATTGAAGCGCGATTTCACCGCGGCGCGCACAGCACTTGCTCTGCACGTTGACGTGCGGTCTGGACTCTTGACACGTGGGAGCAGACGGGTGGACGGTGGGAGGGGGGGGGGGAGCGATTCATCCCCCCAAGAGCGGCGGGTTCTACGAGAAGGACCAAGAGAGAAAGAGCGCGTTTGACACTCGGTACGGCGGATGAGCACGTCGTCGTCCCTCGGTCAGTGGTGAAGAGGAAGGGGGCACGGAGCAGTCGTGGTGGTCGACCATGCGACCGTCATCCAGGCTGCACTTGGACATCCTAACAATAACCGACACTTGAAGCGCCGTTGGCTACGTAGCCAAAGTGGGGAATTGCTTTGCACCACCTTCAATTGAGGCTTCAGATAGGTTTGTGGGGAGGAGGTGGAGGGGGGGGGTATATACTGGAATGTTTTTCTTTTCTCTCAACGTTGAACCTCAAACCGCTTGGTAGTCCCGTAGCAACGAATGGAGCAACAGATAACTGATACCGGACAACTAACCGCATTGCCCTGCAGTTTTGAACGCGTCGTCGTGAATGCGGTCTATCGGTTTGACGGGGGTGGGGGGGGGTTTGACGATTCGAAGCGTCCAAGGCGAGTTCGTGGTTCCGGCTGTAAAGCGGCGCAGCGTCGTGCTCGCGTTCGTGTGTGAACACTGAACGGCGCTTGTCTAACGAACCTTCTTCACGTACAGAGACACGCGTTCTATGAAGTTAGAGGAAAGGATGGCCCTCGGAATGGAATTTTCCAAGGGGCTCCGCTAAATTATGGTCTCGCAGATGCGGACCTGCGGCAACGCTGTGCTGCCTGTTAAGCTCCAACAATGTTATTTTGGTCAGCTATTAGTTGGGGACAATGTTTGATTGTGCACGAAGCCATTGCTCTTTCTTGTTTCTTTACACGCATGTTACGTGATGTACTGCAATTTCCGGAGACATATGCACTTTTACGTAGGAATCTTTGTTTTTATGTAGCTGATGAAAGCTCCAAACAGTGGTCTACAGATCACAAATGATCATCAGTGCAGGCCCCATATGAGCATGCTTTAGCTTTATTGAGATGACACTTGAGACAGACGGGAAATAATAACACATTTGGAATTAATGCATCGCCCAAATTGTAGGGTCAACGCTATCCTCAAGTCAGAGACGGATACAGCAAAGGCACAGACTTGAGGACCGGTCAGAAATAGTAATGCAATAAAGTATTGACAATTGTGCTTTTTTTTTGTTTTGCTTAAACCACCAATATACAAGAGGGTTTGCCAGTCCAGAAAGCTTAAACGCATATGTTGATCAAGAATCTGGAGGAAACGCCTGGCCACTTGTTTCTCCGGCGCTCACATTCTCCGAAGACGACACGCCAGGAGAACGCTGCCAACGTGCCGCTTCGGCTGCACGGCAGTGTAAAGCCCCGAACGCGCGCGGGCACGTTCAGTTGGCTCTGCTTAAAATACACCTGCCTGTGTAGTGGTAACGTACGTAGGATTCTCATTGCTTCCGTTGAAGAAGTATCATTGCAGCGGAGAGGGGATCCAGTACTTCCCAAGTTCAGGCTTTGTATTGCACTTAGCGATGTAGCGGTCTACGTGCGAAGCACCCACCCGGAACTTCCACGGTAAAGTCCTCGCTTAACGCGGTAGATGCGTTCCGGAAAAGCGAACGAACACATTGCATAATCGTAACTCGTTATAGGCAAAATGCCGGCACACAAATGAACCACAACACCTTGCTCATCTCGTCAAGGAGTATAAACCATCACGCGAACTCTCGCCATCCTCGCAGCGGCTACCCATTGAACAAAGACGGCCACTGCATCGCGTGCTTTCAGATGCACGTCTGCGGCCGTCTGGAACGCTCTTCCTTCTGATATTAAGGAAGCCACCGGAGCTATGCACTTTTATAAATCTAGATTGAAAACTCCTTTCTGGAGAACCGCTTTTTTGTTTAGTTTGCTGTACTTCCAACCGCACCTGCGACAGGCACGGTTGGCTACGTACGGCGAACAACAACTTCAACATTCACACATTCAGCGGATACAAGTTCCCCACAAACAACGTGACGGTAGAACTTGTCGAGATACGATGGACGATGGTACAAAGAACTGGGGCTACGCCACCGCGCCACTGTCTCACACTGTCTCGTACCGCCCAGCAGCGCGCAGCTCAAGAAAGCAGTTTGTCGTCGACCGCTCAGAAACCGCGTTATAACGGGGAGGAGGGGGGAGATGCGTTCCGCGCTGCGCAAAAAGTGTTCCCTCGTCTTTAGTGTAAGGGGCCGTCCGTAAATGACGTCACGCACCTGGGGTGGGGTGGGGGGTGTTCAGACATTTGTGACGAAGGGGGGGGGGGGTTGAGAAATGTGACGTCACATCAAAATGGGCAACTTTAAATAAATATAGACAACACGTTCTACTTAATTATATAGACTTTTTAATAAATGTTTTCTCCTGCAACATCAGAGTGCAGCGCCACATTAAATACACACTACAATGACAATAGTTTAAAGCGATTTGAAGCATATTCTTGGTTCTTTCGGTAAAGTCACGTAGAAGGGAAGCAATAAAATAATAAAAATATAAAACAATAAAATTCTCACGACGTTTCGACTGCAACACAAGCAATCATCATCAGGTGTGGAAACCACAAGCAATCATCATCAGGTGTGGAAACCACACCTGATGATGATTGCTTGTGTTGCAGTCGAAACGTCGTGAGAATTTTATTTTTATACTTTTATTATTTTATTGTTTCCCTTCTACGTGACTTTACCGAAAGAACCAAGAATATGAATCCCTGCAGTCACGAAAGCTTTAAATCGATTTGAAGCATGTTTTATTTTTTTTTGGGGGGGGGGGCGGGGGGCAGAGCTTTGTGACGTCATATTTGAGGGGGGGTCTGACTTTTTGTGACGCCGTGTGACGATGGTGGGGGGGGGGTCAAAAATCGTCCAAAATCGCGTGACGTCGTTCATGGACGGCCCCTAACACCACGCGTTAAGCGAGGACTGGGCGTGAAGAAAGCGTGCACGAGAACGGTGAGCCCTGCACACGTGCAGGGTTCAATACGTGGAGGGGACGATGGCTGCGGGTGGCCCCGCGCCCTCTTAGGAATTGCTCAATCGTAAAGCAACACACCTGGATTACAAAGAGCTTACAAGTGCTGTCCTAAGACCCTCGTTCTTTGAGATGAAACAAAAAAAAAACACCCCGTGATGGCACATGTGCACACTCGAGTGAAGTTATTTTAAGCATTCTTCACCTTAGCCGCTGCCGACATCTGAACTGCTTTTAAGGCAACGGGTTTTAAATGGCATTGACGAGAGAGACATCGGTGTTGCTTAATCAGCACGGAAGGTAGATGCGTGTCAAAATCATTCCTGCCAGCCTTGGGCTGGGATGGCAGGCACTGTGCCGCTCGCTCATGCCGCATTAGAGAGCTGCTGTTACTCCTGTTGCTGCTGTTGCTGCTGCTGGTGTTGCTGGTGCTGCTGCTACTGTTGCTCCTGTTGCTGCTGCTCCTGTTGCTGCTGTTGCTGGTGCTGCTGGTGCTGCTGCTGTTGCTCCTATTGCTGCTGCTGTTGCTGCTGCTGTTGCTCCTGTTGCTGCTGCTGTTGCTGCTGCTCCTGTTCCTGCTGGTGCTGCTGCTGATGGTGTTGCTGGTGTTGCTGATGATGCTGCTGCTCCTGTTGCTGCTGGTGCTGTTGCTGCTGTTGGTGTTGCTGCTGCTAATGCTGATGGTGTTGCTGATGCTGTTGCTGCTGTTGGTGTTGCTGCTGCTAATGCTGATGGTGTTGCTGATGCTGTTGCTGCTGTTGGTGTTGCTGCTGCTAATGCTGATGGTGTTGCTGCTAATGCTATTGGTGTTGCTGCTGCTAATGCTGCTGGTGTTGCTGCTGTTGGTGTTGCTGATGCTGCTGCTGCTGGTGTTGCTGCTGCTAATGCTGCTGGTGTTGCTGCTGTTGGTGTTGCTGATGCTGCTGCTGGTGTTGCTGCTGCTAATGCTGCTGGTGTTGCTGCTGTTGCTGATGCTGCTGCTGCTGCTGCTAATGCTGCTACTGGTGTTGCTGCTGCAGCTGGTGTACCTGATGGTGTTGCTGCTGCTGGTGTTGCTGCTGGTGTACCTGATGGTGTTGCTGGTGCAAGTTTCAGAATGAGGTGCTGGATGTCTGGCAGGTGCCACGACGACCCCTCATTGTCCACCGCCGTATCCGTACGACCCAAGCGGTGGAGTTACCGCTCTCTGATGTCCGCGCAGAGCTCGGAGGTCATTGTCCTCCTCCAAATGTGTGAGACGTCCAGTTCTGAAGGCACTGTTTGTTTTAATTGTGTCCAATTAAACGAGTCTTTGTATTTTATGTATAACTTAATAGGTCGTACGTTCCAATTATTTATTCCAGCTCCGCACTCCCTCTGCTTCGTCAACTATTGCCTTTTCGTTATAACCTCTAATTCATGGGGGGGGGGGTTGCAATGGGTGATCACACCTCCTGTGCTGTTCCTAATATCTGAAACTGATTTTACTTTTGCCATCGTTCCAATTTCCTTCCAAGTATGTAAATCTAAGATCTATCCTTTGTAGCATGCTATTAAAATCAACCCTTCGTGTCGCATGCTCATACGTATTGCCCTTGCTCTCTGTCGCCGTGGTGGCTATGCACGTGGCCTGCAATCCGGCACTGTGGAGGCAACGCGGGGGTTGGTGGATCGCACAGATGTTGTCACGCTCCCTTCCCGTGGGTATCGAGGAGACATTCCCCGGTTGGCCAGGGGAAGGCGGTGCAGCAACTGTGGACTCCACCTGTTCCGTCTGAATGGGGATCGAGTGTCTCCCCCCCCCCCCCCCACTGCACACGTTGGGTTTTTTGCACGGTGCTCCGGTATCCTCCCACGCGCGTATAAACACTCACTCATTGGCTGGACTGCAGAGCTTGGGCAATTGTTGGCGCCAGCTCAATGCCTGGTACCCTTGCAAGCTTGGCCTGTGGTTCCTCATCAATCGTGAGATGCAAGTTACATTACCAGCGCTATACAAATATAACTAGTATTACTACATTAGTTCACTGCTTTGCCCTCTATGCATTATCTGGGTCACACTTTTAAGCTTTCCATTATGTTTTGACCTATGTAAACTGGTATTTTATTGGACTGTATTATTGGTCGTGGATGTTTATTTTGACCGGGTTACAGGTATATTGGATGTACCATGCACTTCTCCATTAAAATGCGCGAGGACAATCAAATAATAATTTATTTTCGGAATTAAATCCTTGCACTGCCACGGTTTGCAGCATTAAAAAAATAAATACTGGAACTGAATGGGTGGCCTAGGAGCCGTTCAATGGCAATGTTGATATACAGAGACGGGATGAAGATACTAGCGTTTACGTATGATTTTTAAAAAAAGGTAAAAGGTGCAGCTTTGAAAGTACTCGCCCATGTCACTGCTGGTGGAAGGGCCTCCACCAGAGACAGCTCTAGAGCGTGTTTTTGGCCTACTCTTCCACGCTGGATAGGCATCTCGGAATAATTTATCCCGCACCTCCGATTGGCACAATTGGCTACGTACGGTGCGATAGACGTTCAACATGTATGGATGGGAGTGCCCACACTTTACCCCACTAAATGCAACCTGCCGATCGCTACCGCGAGGTAGAGAGAGGCAAGGATTGGATGAGGGTGTCTAAGACATTTCCCAATGTAAATCCTATTTAAACAAACTGCTATTGTATTCCACATTAAAATAATACGTTGGAGTTGGCTGGCTAGCTGGCTGGCTCAGGGAGATTATAATGACTGTTCAGTACTAATGATTAAAGCAGAATTTGTTGTATATTGTAGCGAATCGATAGTCTCAACCCATTCCGTAATGATTGCATGGAAAGGCACCTTCGTTGGCAATGCAATAACAGTCTGCGACTGCATCTCAAGATGCTGGACAAAGTGGTAACACGTGCACATTGAAGAGCGTTTGAAGATGGGGTTGAGGGGGTTTTAGGTTTTGAGAATGAAAAGTCAGGTGGAGATCTGTAGTCCGGGGAGGTAGATGAGATGCAATCATGGAGAAACTGCCACGTTTTTGTGGAAACGAAATATGTTTTGTTCACGACAGAGACCCGATCATCATAACGCAAAGGACGCCCTACGTGTTTTCATTCGTCATATCCATACACTGTGTTGTTAATCTTGTACGATGGCGCAGTGCGTCACTAAATGGCCTGGAATGCGCCTGGTGTCATCACTTGATCAGCAGTTGATCAGCAGTTGTGCCTGGACGGTGCTTGGATGTGCGACCACGCTGCAAAACAGGTTGCCATAGGAGGCGGCGGTGGCGTGCTACTCGGTAGTAAGGCAGAGGGGCAGCGAGCAACATATACGGTTGTACTCTACCTCTATGCTCCACCAACACGCACTGACCCGCGTGGCAAAGTGTGGACAAAGGACCCCCACAAACCGCACGTCATGGGGAGGCCCTCATTCGGTATACGTACGTGTACACTGCAGTACACGAGTACAGCACCGTACGATTATAGGCCTGACGGACCGGTGGTAGAAATGCTGTAGTTATTCGTTTGGTGGAAGGAAGGATATCTGAGCAGAGTTTGCACATTTACTGTGGCTGTTGCAGCCCAAAGAGTCGATAAAGCACCGCACTTCTCGCAGCATTTTAGATGTTGTGGAAAGTTTGGATTATTCGGTCACCACACACAATTTGGGCAAGTTCATGCCAATAATTTGGAGGAAAGAAACCCCTAAAATCGTCTCAAAACACGAGTCAGGCTGAGATGATGAGATTTGTTATTAATATTTTTTATT